AGCGTACAGGTGTCTGGCACGCAGGTGCCAGAAAATGTAAGGTAGGTAGATATTTTCTGGGAAATCCAATTATTTGTTCCTAAAAGAAAGAGTTGCCCATTCTTCTAGTGCTACCTGTACTGGCAAGATGTACACCTGAGAGTATTAATAGCCCCTCTTAACTGATACCCCTTTGACCAGAGTGGTGCTTAGACCAGAGCTGCCTTTTTTCTCTTTGCCTTTCCGCAAGACACTAAATTGACTCTGGGAAGTTCATCGTGTTCTGCAGCAGAACAGCAGCAGTCTGTGCTGAGGTTAAGCAGCAGTACTTGATCCAAGTTCTTCTTTATTCACTTCACCTTCTTACATGTTTTGTTATTAATTTTAGTGTAAATAATATCTGTTTCATCATGGAGAGAATTGGGAATTCTCCGTATGTAACAAGTAACTTTGGCTACAATAGATGAATATTTAAGGAAAAAAGATCAAATCAGTTATAGTAGCTTCTACTGAAATGCTGATTTGAGTTTGTCTCAAGTAGAGACATGATGACGATGATCTACTGATTAGAGAAGCATTAAGCCATAATACATCTCAAGGTAGTATCTGGAGAAAAGCAGTGCAGTGCTACTTGTAAGCAATATATCCAACACTGTGAGTACTCACACCACTAACCTTTGCAACATATTTTAGCTGCTTAAAATACTTTGTATTAAGTAATGTCCTTGGTTTCTTGCCACAGGAAAGGAAGATACTTCAGGTGCTTCATGGCCCTCAGTTGTGGTCCTGGGTCCCATTTTCAGCCACCTTCTTGCAGGGAGCTGCTGCTTCACACTACTGTAGTATCACAGGCAGCTTCAGGATGTGCGCTCTGATTTTCCCCACAAAATTAGCACGTATACACCTACCAGTGCTCAGCAGGATGTGGTTCTGTGTGCTGCAGAGCTTTTTGATATTGTGGAGCATTTCTGTTTTCCATTTGGATTAAATCAAGTCTTTTCCTGGTTCTTCATGTTAGAAGCACAATAACAGAGACCAAGAATAGAGTGGAGGTGTAGGTCCTCATGCAGAAGGAGGGAGACCCTGATTTTCTGCACTGCTCTTCTATGTGGACTAAACATCATTAGCTACACTAGGTAGTAGCCTCCTGGAATTGTTTCATTTTATGTAGATATTTTAATATTCCAGATATTTTATGAGAACCTGGGACAAGTAGGTGTTCAACATAGCTCCTGGTTCATACCAAGATCCTTTTTCTGAGTCAAGTGGGTGAAGGCTTGAACTTTGGTTTCTCATTGGAGTGCTCTGACATGAAACTGTAGATGGTGGTAAAGCTTTCTGTCACCTGAACTTTAACCAAAAATCATGTCTTTGACATGAAAAACTTCCCTATTCAGTTTCCCTAAAACTTGTGTGGATCTATGAAAAAATTCATTCTGTAGCAAATTGCTATTTCTTTGCATAAATCATTTAATTGAAAAAAGGCTGAGTAGTTTTGATTAACAGGGGCATTACAGTAATGCTTTCTAGACAGGATTAGGATCTCACTGGGTACCTGCCCACACATAGAGTGATAGGAAAACTGTGCCTTTGAGTGATTACAGATAATCACTCAAAGAGACAAGATCAGAAAAGAAAGGGAATAAAAATTACCATTTTTCTTATTTTACAAATAAGGATATGAATTATAAAGATACTAAGTGAAATTGTCCAAATTTGAAAACAAGCCGGTGAGAAATTTGGGACTGGACCCAAAGCCCAATCCAGTGCCTGAACCAGACACTCACCTTTCCTGTCCATTAGTATGCAATTCCAGGAGCATCAGGATGAAAGCTTATCTTCAGACTTGACTTAACAAAATGTTTTAATAATCCTAGCTATGAAATGCTAGGAGCTGATCTTGGATTTTACAATAAGAGACAAAGCGGTTGTGATACAGTATGGCATGCAAATTATATGCAAAGTATATTGGCATGCAAATTTTCACGCTAAAAGAAAAATCATTCTTTTCTAAACCAAAGAGGAGAGTTTTTCACCCGTAGAAGCCAGAATCTGCCAATAAAAATTTTAAACAAATTGACAGGATTTCATTACGTTTTAAAACATATTTGTCTTTTCATGCAAAATAATTTCATCTCTTTTCTGGACAAGCTCAATTTCTTTACTTTGCTGATAACAAGTAGGCAAAAATGCTAAGTCTCTAAATGCTAAAAGTCTCTCAGATAACTAAGAACTTATGAGGATGCCATAATAAAAAAAAAAAAATTATTAATGTGTGAAATTTTGAAATGTCGTTTGGTCTTTTGGTTTCAACAGTTGAAGCTTGGAGCAGATCCAGGTGTTGTCTGTGACCTTGTTGGTCAGTAACATCCACGGTGGCTAATACCATGTAGTTATTGCTGTTTTGTATGCGTTAGACAATGAAATGTTCCTCTGTCTATTGCCATGGTGAACTTTGGAAACACTAATGGGCAGATATAGAATATTTCAGGAATAGGTTATATTCATAGGGCATGACTAGATACACCTGGTTGTCTCTCTGGCTCACCAATAACACAATGGTGCTATTAAGCATATTTTGTTAGCTGCGACAAGAGAAAGCAGAGCAATAGTAGCTGTGTCTGCTGTCTTTTCTCTGTTTTATCTTTTTCATTTTGAGCTTAGTTTTGTGCCAGACTAATAGCCCATTGCAATGGGCTGGGGAAATGAAACTTTCGCTAAGATTAGGGAATGTGCAGAAAACAATGTGTGAAATCCTGATTTGACAAGGATGAACAGACTGGTGAGGGCACAGAGACATTTTGTGAAGCAAAACCATATTTGTACCCAACGTGTCTAGAAAAAAACTGTAACAACTGAGGTGGCAAAAGATCCCACCCAGGAGACAATAGAATGACATCCTCATTATACCAGTCAGAGAATAAAGGAGGTGTGGAGTTTATTCTGCCCTTTTCAATTACTGGCAGCTTATATTAATTTACGGTAGTGGAGCGATGTGTGTGGTGGTGTGCTCTGGGGTGATTATCCTTGTGAGACTGTAAGTTCAACAGTTGTCATGCAATTTGGAGATGCAGACTGGCAATTTTCGTAATTGAATCTCAGGAAATAAACAAAATATGGCAACTTGATACATTTCAAGCAATTAAATTTCTGCTGAAATTTCTGCTTCATCCTGGGGACTCCCAAATTTGCTCAGCCAAATTCTGTCTCTGATTAGGAATGCAAATAACCTCCAAGAAATGGAAGAAGGCAACCATCTTTATTATATACAGTGGCACAACAATATATTGTATTGGCACCTGCCCTTAATTTAAAACGTGGTCTTAGAAACCTGCCATCAGACCACAAGTCAGGAGAGCAGACTTTGAAAAATTGTGCCAGCTGTGGCTTTTCTGGCTCAGGAGAGGTGGAACCACAAATGGTGGAACCATTTTACCACTCTGTTGTAAAATGACTCATTTGCACGGTATGAATTCAGTGCTCCTACCCAGCCCATTCAGGCTGTAAAGTTTTCAGAGCAAGGTCTCTCCCTTGCTGCATGCCCAATGTCCAATACCTTTATTATTAATTACCATGATGTAGCAGGTACAGGGAACCACCAGGCTGGATTCCCTCATGCTAAATACCTGACAGATTAACAAATACTCAGAGGTTTGCTGGGTCAGTTTCCTGAGAAGATGAATGATATATGCAAGTTATTTCTTCGGTGCAATCCTGTTCATTTACAGAAATTGTACACCAGCTCTGTTTCATGGGACACTGGAGGAGCAGGCAATTGCAGGCATACAGTTTCCAGGCTCCCAGTTCACAAGACTGGCTCTGGCTTTTCCCAGAGCCTTGAAAGACTGGCTCACAGTTTCCAAGGCTTCCCTGCACCCTTACCTGCTCGAGTGAGATGTAAGCCCACTGATTAGAAAAGTCTATTAGTAGCTAATGTTATCCACCCCTAACTTATTTGTACAGACACTTCACTGAATCATCTGTGATAGGAGTGTAGTTAACTGAGCTCTATAATCAGCAGAGTCCAGCTATGATTGGAATTGCCTTCTATTTCCCACCACTGATTACAGGGAAAGCCAAAGGCTAGGGCTGCATAGTTAAATGGGATTCAGTTTAAAAGCTAAGCTTGAATAGGTTGGATCTCCACTAGATCTGAGTTGTCAAGATGATTCTGTCATTTAAATAGGTAAATTTGAGATATCACAATCTATAGTGTTGGTTGAAGACGTGAATGGTACAAATAATGTTCACTGAACTCCATGTTGGTCTGATAAGTCTGTCCTAGGGACTCCCAAGTGTGATTTTTCAACCATTTGTGGCCATCCCTGGCTGTCTGAGCACTGAGTGTGTTCACCGAGTGTGTGAGCACACTGAGCTTAAGCAGTCGGATAATCAAAGCCCAGCAGGTCTCCCAGCCCTTGTACACTTCTAAGAGGCCACAGGAGGCCGTTATTAGGACTGTCCTAGACTCTGTGTCCCCAAGACTAGGTTGAGGTGATTTCTTGAAATGGGGCTGCAAGGGCTCCTGTTGTTGTAAGGATTTCCCTGGGAAGAGGAGGTGAGACTGAGTGTGAGGGGAGATGGAAGCTGATTTCAGGCTGGACCATGTTATTCTGGGCAAGGCTGGACCTTGATCATTCAGTGGTTAACTTACCTTCCAGGGCAACCCTTTGAGACCTGCTGGCCTATGCAGTGAATAGTCTGTAGTCTACATTAGTTTCATAGTTGATCCCATCAGAGAAAGAGTCTTTCTAGTAGCCTGAAGCCCTCTCTTTACAGGCAACAAATTCCCTAACATTAACTTCTGAAAACAAAGACAATAAAGATTTCATTCTTTTTCAGCTGGTGTTGAAAAGTGGCATGAGGGTGGCCATGTGGACAGGGAACTTTGCAAGGAAAGAGGAAAGTGTCTACTTAACTAAAGGATGTTTCCTTCTTTTCTTTTCCTTTTTACTTTGTGTTAAAGATGTATGACTTCCCAGTCAGCGCAGCTTGCAGCGTGCCTTTGTTTTCCAAATTAGAAAAACAAAACAAGCTGTTTCTCAATATAGTTGTCGGGCAGTTTGTTGCATCAAGCTGTGAGCAATGTATGCCATGGAAAGAGCCCTGGCTGATGCCAGCAGAGGAGGTGTGTGATTGGGATACAAAAATAGTCATGCCACTTGGAAAGCATGCAAACAACTGTGTTTCTCTTCTGGTAGTGTAGAAACCCCTGGTGTGTCCCCTAACCTCAAAGCTAACTCGGAATTAAAATATATTATTATTGTCATCTCTTATTTTGTTCTTTCTTTGATTGCTTGCTCACCCCTTCCTAGGGGATGATCCATAGTCTCATAGTAGAGGACAGAGTGCTTACCATGAAGAAAATGTCCAGTTGCAAATCTGTACCTGTAGGTAGATGCTGCAGTCTCCATATAAACTCACACACATGAGAGAAGCTGACTGGGCTGTGCCCACACCAAACCTGGAGCCTCATGTGTTGAACAGCTGTAGGTCCCTTGGGTTGTCTGGATCAGCCAGAAGAGGGAGACAACTCACACACACTGTAAAAATCTTAAGTTTAGAAGGGTGAAATAGCTTTGAATTTATCTTAATTCCTTTTAAATATTTTGCTTGAGAGCGCCTGATTTTCCAGGGCAAGGAATAATATTAAGACTCATCGTTAGAGATATAGCAAGTCTTTTTGCTAAAAGTTTGCAGAGTATATATGCTATAATGAATGCTAGACAGTTGGGTAAAAAAAATCAAACCTATTATTTTCTGCCAGCAGTTTCTATGCAGTTCTTCATATTGGGGATGTCTTTTTCTTCTCTGTTTTGTTTTTAGTCTTGTTTTTGTTTTTATTTTATTCAGAACAAGTGAGCCAGTATAATATTTCCTCAAAAGCTGTTTACTGAATTGGCTTAACATTCATTTTTATTTAATATTAACTTGGTGAACCAAAATAAAGAAAAAAAATTACTCAAATAGAATTGAATTTCAGGTTTCTATCAAACACATAACTGTGATAATGTGAAATAGAGAGTAAAAAATATTAAAAAATTGTAAAAGGGCAACACTGCTCATATATGCCAGTAGGTATCTGTTCCTCATTGATTTTCAGAGTCAGCTGCCAGTCATCTGACTTTTCACATCTTATGAAATATAATGCAGTATATAAAAATAAATCAGTCGGAGAACTCAGGATCCCAGCATGCAGCGTTATGATGTCAAGGGTAAGTGAACCCATTGAAAAAGCAACAAATGCACTTCAGTGATTACAATTTTTTAGATTTTATCAACTAGCGTGCAGATTTCCTCTGTCTAAACACAATGTAGTCAGCATTTATCTCCTATAAAATCAGTCAAAACAGAAACTCCTATGTAATCAGTTTGACTCAGAGATGGTTTTGGAGGTGGTGGTGGTGGCAGAGGGAATCTCTTGTCTCTAGTAATTCTCAGATTCTCAGGCAGCCAATGCACACATCTTATCAGGGGTTACCTAGCAACTGTATGCTGCCCTTAGTTGAAGTATAGCGATTAGTTAATAGCCCATGACTTCACAGGTTACTTTTTTTGCAATTATATACAAGTATTTAGCATTTGATTTCTTCTGAAAGCCCCTTCTCATACAGAAATTAATATCAGGTCAGATCATGACTGGCACTTATCTCTTCAGTATACAGTTAGCAGTAAGTGCTTCCTTTCCTCCACCTTCCCCATCATATTTTATGTCTTCCAGCCGATTGTTACAACTTAAGCATGTTACCAAGAGAAAATTATGAAGTGTCAAAAAGAGATCAGTGCAATTTCTGGAACTTTGTTTATATTTTAAATTTTACCTGGGACTTGAATGAAGAACTGGCTGTTCACATCTCCCATGTCATATTAGGACCGGGCAAGAAGAAAGACATTTCAGATGCAGCAGTGTCACAGGGGCACATTGACCACTATTTCAAGTTTTGCAATGTGGTATAAATGGGAGATGACTGCCACACGCTTAGCTCAAGTATTCAGCAGCACTTGAGTGTTTTGATGCAAGCCTTCACATAGTCCTTTTCCTCGGGTTATTTTTTTACCTTTTTTTTACCTTATGACTTTGTACTAAAAACATGCACTTTTTTTTTTTACAGTAAGTGTTCTTGTTTGCAAAGATCTGTTAGCTTTGAGCATAAGGTTTTCATCTAATACCTAACAAATCCTCCCTCTCTTCTGCATGATGGCTTTCTGAAATTTGGAAGGGTGCATTCCCTAGCCTAGCAGGAAAAGCAGATGTTTGTACTCCCCAGGTGAACCAGACATCCATCAGATGTGCAGCATTTGGTTCTGTATGAAGCCCATAGCCCAAAAGAGGGACAGAAGCAAACTGTCAACTATGCCTTATTCTTCCTGCGGCCCAAATAACCATGACTGTAATGCCCATCCCTGGTGACCTGCGAGGTTGTTTCTGAGAAGCGTGGTCAAGTTTCCTCATACTGCTGTCATATTTCAAAGTCTGTTGCCTCCTGAAAGCATCTGGAAGATCAACGATAAAATCATGAAAATGTTGGCTGAAGGGACCCTAGAGTCACCTTGTCCCATCTCCTGCTCAAAGCAGGGTGGTTGCCAACACTGTATCAGGCAGACTTTCTTTCTATACTGGCAGTTTCAGCTCCAGTGTTAGAAAATAAGGACTAATTTTTGAAGGCAGAAGGAAAAGGCTGGAACTACTACCTTACATGTAAGAAAATTTCATTCTTTGGATGCTCCCAGCACTAACTAGTTTGCGCAATCTGGCCTCATGCCTTTTCCAAGGACTTGTTTTCTATGCTCAGTCTTTTGCTGACTGCTGGTGATCTTGGTGTGTCCCTAGGACAACCATCCTGATCCTGGCATCACTGCCATCTGGCACATGATAAATAATAATGAGTTCTCTTTGTCTTTCTTCACCTGCTCAAAGTCCATGCTCAAAGCCATACATCAAAGGCTCTGCATGTAATAAATGTATCTGCCACAAATGTCTTTGGGGTGACAATCACCAATGATCACATAAAGCATCCTTTCTATTCCTACCAGGCTAGGGTGGTGGTGGCCTCGTAACCCTGTGCGGGGTGAGGAATGCCATCATTTTCATGGCTTTCTCTATACCTTGTGGACTGGCTGGTGTGACCTAGCTTGACAAACAAATTAAAAGTTCCCTGCAGCTATTTTCCCTCTGTGAATCACCAGGGGCTTTGGATGAGTGTGCTGCAGTCTTGTTTGGCCCTAGAGGAACTTTTAGAATTGACTGGAATTGTTCTGTACACAGTCGCTACCAGAGCTTATTCCCCTGTGCCTGCTTCCAGCTCTGAAGAAGCTCAGGACCATGTGCCTACAACAGTTCTGATTCAAAATGCAGTGAAATCAATGGAAGAATTGCTTTGATTTAGGTCTCACACAAATGCATTAGGATCATTAGGATGCAAGATAAAGCATAGATAGTAGAGTCTGCTACACCCAACTGTCCCTGCATACAAGGGAAAGACAAGGAAAATGGGGAGCTTTTCCATAGTCCCCCACTCCCTTGGGTTCACTTTCCTGGCCTAATTCCAAGCCAAAAACACCACTGGGCAAATTTCCCAAAAGGAAGAGCACAGCCTTGCTCACCACCACGCTACTCAGTGGAGCTGGCCCCTTTGGAAAGCAGTGGTGTAGCTGTCCGTTGCATTGCCATGGTCTCTCCAGGGATCCCCCTGGGATTTTTCTAGTATGGACTCATTGAATACAACCTTAGTCTGACTTTTAAATACCCACCACATAGCCTTTGCTAGTCTTAAAAGCATGGATTATGTTTCATACAACTTGCTTCAGATTCAGGACTTTCTGAAAGCCAGAAGAAATTGTAGTTAGTATCTTACGGACCTTCATAAGCTACTCTTACAGGCACAGGGAAGAGAAGGCAGAGCTTTGTTCTGTTTGTATTTTTTAGTGGGACTTGCTCTGCTACTAACGGTGATGAGGACAATGTAAATTCATAAAGAGATAAATGTACAAAATTTATTTCTACTGTGAACTCAGGATAAAAGTATACAAGTTTTATATAAACTTTATGCTCCTATAGTAATACCTATTCCATGCACTACATATATCTATGCATCACATAAGCCACATTCATATCGACACATATAAGTTAGTTAAAGAAAAATCCATTTATAGTTTAGTAAAATTTGAAGTGCTTTATGGGTGTAAGGGTTGAATTTTGGTAATTGTAACGGAAAAATTACCATTGACTAGTATCTAGTCATTTTAAGCTTTGATCTCATTAATAAGGTCTGATTTTGTTACTGTTGGGAAGGACACTTTAAAAGACAGCTGCTGATTTCTGAATAGAGATCATAGAGGTTGGATTAGAATGTCACAATGATCTATGTGACTTCTGAGATATTTTATCATATAGTATTAAATATAAACTGCAGGTACAACAGATGGATTTTGCCATACAATCCATTTATGCTTCATTCTGTAATGTATGGTTATCACTGCACGTCTACAAGATGTTTTGTCTTGCAGAAGAAGTTTTTCTAAAGGATTGCAGCAGGATTTGTGCTGTCATTTATTAAACAGCAACCCCAGACCACACAGTGGTGCTACACAGTGGCAGCTGCTGCTCTTCACAAAACCAGCATTTTTCATGCGACTGACTCTTTCTCTCAGTCAGCTCCACAGCAACTTTAAATCATTCATCTCTTTCTTTGTGTTTTGAGGGGGAAATGTAGCTGGAGATTGACTTAAAGACCATTTTAGCATGCTTGGGTTTCTCTTAAAGAAGTACGATGTTCATTTCTAAAGTGGTTGATCAGTCCAGTGAAAGGAGCTGTTGCTACATCCCTGCCTCATTAGGTTTTTAACTGACTGCATTGGGTGTGAGCCCTGCTTGAAAGTACAGGGAGGTGGTTTGCTTCTGGTATCATCAAAAGCAGCTTTCAAGCAGCAGCATGAAGTTATGAGAAGTTATTTGTTAAATTAAGCTGATAAGAATGAGACCAAAATTGGGACCAAAGACTCCTGTCTCTCATTCCCGTGTTCAGATATCCTTTTTG